CCAAACAGTCTTGAAACTTGACTTTTTGCAATTGTTTTCAAAATATCTACCTCTAGCTCCTAAACGGTTAAAGATGCGGTAAATCGGAGGGTGACATCTGACTCAGAATGTGCTGTTTTGGGGGGGTACTTTCTCTGACATTTTACGATTGGACGCCTCCTTGTACGTCTTCATGTGCAACGTGGTCATTTTCACCGTATTTTCGTCGAAAAAAACACTCCAGCGCCCAAACAGTGCAAGGTAGAGGCAAACGGACGAAATTTCAGTCCGGAGGGTTCTACTTTCACGAGTTACCACTTATGGGACCAAAAAAAATAATTGATTTTCTACTTTTGGGGCCAACCCCTATTTCTTTGTTACCCCCTTTCACCCCCTCAGGGGTGGTTGCCAGGATTTGCACCAGGCGTTTCGTTGTCGAGGAGTGACCCATAACATACCCTGAAATTTTCAGACCTCTAGCTCATCTCCTTCCTCTTACACGGACGACGGACGGACAGACAGACGGACGGACGGACACGAGAGCGGTTGCATCAGCCCGCTTTAATTTTTTTTTAAAGCAGAAGGGCGGGCTAAAAAGGGGGTGGGGGTAAAGCTTGGACAACTGGACCTTTCATCCGGGCGTTTGACTTCGCTCATCTATGACAACCAACTATGTGGCTTTGGTGCTGTAGATCCATTTCTGGTAGACTTGCTGGAGCTGCGACTGATGAGGTATCATCGGCAGCGACAGCCTCGTCTACGACGGTGGTTCCGGCGCCCTGCCTGGCGGAACAGGATGGACCATGGGGCCTGGCGCACCACCATCCGCACCATGCTCGAGGAAGACCCGGAGATGTGCTTCAAAGACTTTCGGATGACGCCCGCCGTGTTCTGCGAGATTTTGGATCGGGTGTCTCCGAGATTGCAGAGGAGGCCCGTGTTGGGGTACATCCCACCCGGAGAAAGGCTAGCACTCACTCTGCTGTGAGTACTTATTACTTTGTGCGCTCAAATGCAGGGGTATGCTTCACTTTCTGACATTCTATTCCGTTCTAGATTCCTGACCAGTGGGTAGTGGGTCATGCATGAAGGATGCTGCGCGCTCATTTATCATTCCCCTGCCCACCGCGTCGCCCATCATCGATGGAATCCGGGAGCATCAGCTACCAAATTTCTACTTTGAGGATATTGTTGAGGTTGACGACGGTTGTAGAATTGGGGAACACCTAGTCGACTTTTTGGGGGGGGCTGGCCAGGTGCAATGGCAATGGGATCATCTCCGCAACCCTTAGGGGCATTTCCAGCCACGTCGAGGACGCCATACTGAAGGGTGGGGCTTCTTGTATTTGGATTAGAAAGGGGGGGGGGGGGAGGCTACAAGTACTCTACCCTCTTTTACTTGTATTATTTCAATGAAATTATATTTATCCTTATAATAAATCCTTATGTTCTTGTATGTGCTACACAGGATAATCTTTCAATGTAAACAAAATAAATAATAATGATACAATGACACATAATTAAATTCCTATTCTTGCTGCGCCGCATACTCCTGCATCAATTCCACCCCGTCCGCAGCCGAGTGATGCAGTAGCCTATCCTGCAGTTGCTGTGCCACGGGTACCGGGTACACCCGCAGCCTATCTGCCAACAGAACGCCGCATTCGCATCATGAGGAGGGGGTGGTGCAGGTGGCGGTGCGTTCCGCCGCCGGAAGATGGCCTGCTCCAGCATGTCGTCCAATTCAGCGCGCCGCGGAACAGCCCGACCGCGCCCAGGGCCTGCAGCGACACCAGGAAGGCGTTGACCGCGACCGCGGCCACGACCAGCAGGAGGAGCAGGCGGCTGTTGGTCAGCTGGTGCCCCTTGAGCTGCATGCGGTGGAGGCTCGTTCTGGTGCTGATGCTCGTCCTGGTTAGGCTCGTTCTGGTGCTGAGGCTCGCCCGGAAGCTCTCCAGGGTCGTCGAGGAGCTCTTCAGCGCCTCTTCCTTTTAATTTTTAATTTTTTTTAAATCTTTCTAAGACGTAATTCGTCAAAGTAGAGCCCATAGGGCCAAAATTTTGTCCGTTTGGCTCTATCTCTAACCGTTTAGTCGCCAGAGGGCGATATCCACACGAAAATGACCCCAAACCATTTTAATGTTGTTTCTCAGATATTTGACAATCTCTGGTGGGGTAACTCGTCAAAATTTGTGTCTCTGGGAGCCAAAGGCCTATCTACGACTCTGCCTTTTTCCGACTCGGGTGTCAGCGCCGCAGGCCTAGGTAGATGTATGCCAGGCGCGTCGCAGCGTAACAGTGTTTCGTGAGATATCGCGAAGCCTGTTACGCGAGACGTGGTCTGGCGTACCTCTACCTAGTATATTTTGACTGTTTCAATCGTGTGTTATACAGTTAAGGGAGTATGATATATCTTTAACCGTTAGATATCTAAATATTCTTAATCTATAATTGTCGTGAAGCAAGGTTATTATTTGAGAACCCTCTTTGACAATTCACGTCACCAACGTATTCTTGTCGATCTTATGTAATATTTGTAGTATAAGATATCGTAAATTATTAGCAAAAAAAAGACGCATTCATATTTTCTATCCCTTTACTTACTGAAAACCGCAACCGGAGTCCGCTTCCATTTGAATCAATACATGACATTCATTTGTTTGCGCCGATGTAAGACCGATTGTGTTTTGTTCGATGCGTCGGCTGCATAGGAAAATAGGAACGTGCCTGAGGCATCAGGTGTCAATGAGGCCGCCTCACCGTGAGGCAACGGGTCTCACGAGACGAAATCCACCATGATTGTTTCGGATTGTCTGTGATTGTTTACGATTGTGTGTGATTGTTTCATGATTGTTTCTGATTGTGTTTCCCGATGTACACATTTTTTTTACATAAGTACGCGTTATTACGCTGTTAGTACGAATTAGAACGTCTTTAGTACAGGCCTGGGTGTACGAATTAGTACGTAAGTGAGAGGTAGGCACAAAGTGTTGAATTGGGGCACTCAGAAACTAAACTCGGGAGTATTCCACACCAAAAGTTAGTGTCAGTCATACTCGGATGCACAAAATAACACCATTGTTCAAGCCCTTTGATGACGAATATTGGCGTATGAAAATACGGTGACGTTCACAAGAGCGAACTGTCACAAGCGCGACCCGCCATAAGCGCGACGGCCGCAAGCGCGATTTTAAAAAAAACCTTAAACTAACTACAACCACCGCAGTACTTTGAGTAAGGCATATTTTCTTCTTTGCTACAGGGATAGGATAAAAAAAGTATTACTGAGAGAACCTGCGAGAGGACAGATGTTTCAAATACATTTATGTTATAAAAATACATGACTAAATACAATATAGATTAGACGAGAAGGAAACAAATTCTCGCCTACAACCTCCAGAACCAGGTCGCCTGGGTGAAGCCCAGGCAACTTCACGGCAACTGAGGGTGCAGAAATAGTACCAAGTAACAATAATATAGTATTTAGTATGTAGTAAAAAAGGTATGCATGATAATGCATACAAATGAAATGGAATGAGTATAAAAATGGCTTACTTGTAATACCTTCGATTTCAAAATAATAACTGAAAAGAAATTTTGTATGGTTAAATATTAGAACATCTGAAAAGGAACTTGGAAAGGTTAAATATTAGTATATCTGAAAAGGAATTTTGAAAGGTTAAATTTTGAATAGCGGGAACAAAAACCACACACATCAGTAATTGTCATCCAAATCCATCTGGCTATAGTTGTGGTCAAAGTCCTGAGCATGGACATTCGTGACCTCATGGTCAGGACCCAAAGCAAAACTGGTAAGATATGAGGCTTGTTGATAAAATGTTGGCTTGGCTAAATTTCTCTTTTTCTTCAATGGCTTTTTCTTGGTTGATCGAAACTTGTTTACTAATCTTCTCTGAGTTGAAACTTTTTTATTATAGTGTTCGTTTGGGACATTCTTGGAGTAAAACTTGAAGGAGTACGGGGAGAGCGAGGAGTAGGAGGAAAGAGAGGTGTTGGGGTAGGAAGTAGAGGAGAAAGGCAGAGAGAGGGAGTACAAGGAGCAGAGGGAGTGAGAGGTGCAGAGGGAGTGAGAGGTGCAGAGGGAGTGAGAGGAGCAGAGGGAGAGACATGTTCAGAAGTTTCAAGCTCTTTCCGAAGAAGTTCCAGAAATTTCAAATATCATTGTCAATATAACCATTATCATTAGCAAGTTCACAAAGTGCAGACACTTTGCTCATGATCTTCTCATTTGAGCTCCTGTCAGGATTGTCAATATGCACGATGAATGATGAAGTAAGTGCATGAATATGTTTGCACATGTTGCCATGTGGAACATAATCCTGACAGCTACATGAAAACTCATGATGACAAACACTGCAATGGTTGCAAAAGAGCTCACAACCAGAGCAAGTATTTTCTTTTCTTTGCACAGTGTAGAAGCTATCTAATCCTAGTCGAGAAGATGGAACACGCCAAGCCAAATTATCTTCAATTTCAACAATATCCTCTTTCCTTATGTCCTAACTCCATTTATGTCTGTCATTTAAAAGCCCTTGTCGGTAAGAATTATTACCCTTGCACAATCTTGTTATCCTTTCACAAGCCACATTCTTTGTCCATTTGAGTAAAATATCCATACACTCATCAATGTCTCAACTTCTTCCCTTTCATGTAGCTGTACTTGAGCTTTTTAAACATCGACTCCATTAACATGTTGGTACTTAATCCTAACTCACCACTGTAGCAATATGCCCACTTCTCCTTGCAGCTGATGTACTTGTTTCGAGGGGAAAACGACTGTTAAACTTTGTGTCAGCCGGATTACAGATTACCCGGATTACCTCCGGAGGGTCCTCCGGATTACGTTGCTTTTTCTCTAGGATTACCCCGGATTACCCGCAAATTTTTCCCGGCTCACCCCAAAATTCCCCCGGATTACCACGGATTTTTTAGAATTTCCTCGGATTACCCCTGCCGGATTACCTTTCGGCTGTCAGCCGGATTACCTTAGTCGTTTCCCCCTCGACTTGTTTAGATATTGAATGAACGGTTTGGTGTCAATGTCTTCTTCTAGCATATTCTTCATTCCTTCCGCTGCTATCTCAAACAATTCTTTATCTAAAATATTTCTCAATGTGACCAACGCTCTGTAAACTTCTGCCTGCTTGCCCAAACCCTTTACCTTTGTCTTCTCTGTCCACCTGCGATCCACATGCCAAGTACAATAAAACACATTCTCACTTTCTCCAAAATCTTCTTTCCATGCACTATAAAACTCACTTGCCATGTCTGACATAAAAACTTTTGTGCTAGTCAATGATTTTGTGAGCTTAGGTTTAAGAACTCGAAAAAATTGCTTGATGAAATCCTGTGTCACATGATTACTGATGCAGTATGCCACAGGAACACCAACACCTGCAGAGTCTACAGAGCCCAAAGTTGTCAACTGAAAATCATAGTCATTAGTGCCATGCGTGCTATCAATCAGAACTTTGTCATCAGTAAAAGGTGCCAGCTCTTCTCTTTGGTATGGAGTGGATATCACTAACATAAAATCAGAGTCAGTTAGGCAGCATTGCGGGTCATCACAAGTACAAGGCTGGTCCTGGGGGTTATAAAACAATACTGGATTCTTGTCACCCCTCTTCTTAAACTTTTCAACTAAAATTCCGACACTTGTGTAGTCATTAGTATGAGCATGTCTCAATTTAAATTCAACAGTCCTTAAAAGATTCCACAGGTCTCGTTTCTCCAAAAGGTGAAGGCGTTTAAAATCTGATGGTCTTTCTAATGATTCCCTAACGTCGTCAAGGATGGAGTCAATGGATTCATGGTTTCTCAGTCTTGTTGCAATCATCCCTCTTTCAGTTGCAATTAGTTTCATAAAACGAATGTCACACTCATGGCTAAAATAATTCTTGTGCCAAGTCATATCCACTTTTTGTCATTCTTCAATAGGACTTCCATCCTTGCTGGGCACGTAGCACCAATCTTACAACTTCCACCTCGCTTCTCTTCCCGCAATCCTTTCCCACGACTCACATGAAACCCACTCCTATGACATTGTAGATAAAATTTCTTTCCTGACACCAACTTTCTCACACCACGCTCATTCACAAAACTCACAAATTTTTTTCTGCTCCATACACTCTTTCCATGCATTGAACTCTTCCATTGAGACAAAATTCTTCTTTTCAACTTGATTGTCATAGTCATGTTTTTCAGTCAGATGACAAGTCAAAGAAAGATAAGAGTGGCCTACATATTCACACAAGGCACATACAAAGGAAAATTCTGCAGCCCGACCTTCAGTGTTGACAGAACTTCAAACTTCTCCTGCCTCACCACCATCCTTACGCTTATTCTTCACATGCTTTGTCAAACTTTTCCTAAAAAAAAAAGAGGGCACATTAGAAAATATTTTGTTACACAACATAAAAAAATCCAAAAGGAAAACTTACTTTGAAGAAAAAACCTTGTCACATCTTAAAAATTTAAATAAATTGCTTGCTCTGTCTCTTCCATCTGTCCAATCTCTTCTGTCTGTCCAATCTCATCAATTACAATAGCATTCCTCTCACCAAGCCTCTCATTTTCCTTCTCATTCCCAGCATTCTTCTTTACATCAACCTCTCCATGCGAACTTTTCATGTGCCTTATTAAATTTTTCCTGAAAAATGTTACACGTAATTTAAATTTGCAGTATTTTATAAGCCAGAGGGTAAAATTTATAGTATATACAATAACAGTCTTAGATAGAACTGATAAATTAGATAACTTGATAAGATACTTGGTAACAGTAATGATGATGAATATTTTAAGTTAGTAGGCTGAGTCAAAATGAACAGCCCAGGCTAAATGTTATGAAAACCTGCAGAAAAACCTGCAGGCGATACCATTAACCAAGACAAAAGTACATGAGAAACCAAACCAAACAAAACCGTAAACAAGCAGAGTGAGAAAATGTTTTGGTTGCATACCTGACAAAACATTGCATTACATCCAACCTGCTATTGAAGGTACTGTAAGAAAAGTCCAGTAACCCAGTCACCATTACAAATCCCTAAACTAAAAACATGAACTCAACAGTATGATATGACTTTCATTAGTATGATGTAAACACAGAACGGAGAATATTTAGGGACCCCAGACTACTGATGAACAATATCACTGTCATGATTGTAATGACACATCCCATAGTTGGCTACATACCATTAAAATGAATTATAATATAGAGCACTCTTTCATCCCTACATACCAGTACAGCAAATTCCACATGATTTAACAAGTTAAGATTTCATCCCGCAAATAATAATTAACGCACCACTCTACCCCTGTCACCTAGCCCTGAAAGAACGGATTGCGACTGCTTCAATCACTGAAAGAGAAACGACAATCAAAAACAAGTAATCATTGGAAGGAGAGATCAGCGCTATCGTGAACAAAACCCAGAACTAACGTCAATCCAAAACCCTTGTCACACTTGTTACACCTGAAATATTGTTCTCTCTCCCTATCATTTACTAAAACAACCTTGTGGATAACAGTTATATGCTGTGTCAAGTGGTCTGGTAAAAAGCTTGTCACAAAATCGGCACTGATGTTCTCGCTGGTCAGAATGGGTAGATCTCTCATGTCGTCGAAGGTTAGAAATCTCGGTAAAAGTCTTTTGGCAAACTTTGCAATTCATTCTGAAAGTTAAAAACAAAAATTATACACAAATACAGCAACTAATACACAAACAATAATTAACAGAGCACTTACATGGATCAATCAAATAAAATAGCACCGACAATAACAACAATAAAACAGCTACTCTTCGCAACGGACAGACTGGAAGTGAAGGGACGCTGGCTCGGCTCGGCTCCACTCGGCTCCGATCCCCTCGGCTGGGACGACTATAAAGGACTGACCGACCCTCTCGACCTACGCCGCGATCTCGCCCGTCTCGCCGTAGAAAGCTGCGCCTCGCAGCTGTCGCTCTTGTGACGGGTCGCGCTTCCGACAATTCGCGCGTCCGGACGTTCGCTCCTGCGACGTTCGCTCTTGCGCCGGATCGCGCTTATGGTGGGTGGCGAACTTGACAGTTGGCTCTAGCGGGGCGCGCTCAATCTCCGAGTTTACTTTATTTCAAGTGACCCGATTCAATACACTGTAAAAAATTTCTTGGGATTTTTCCGATGGTTCACTCTTAACCAATATGTATACCATATGTGTGAAATGATGAAACAATTAGCTATTAAAACCGAAATATTACATATACTTGCCATCGCTGCTGGACAACTTACGTTGATCAAGCCAAAGACAGCATAGAAGAAGGAGGCGACCTGAATGTGCGCCAGCCTTGTCGAGTAAAAGTCCGTCAGGCCTTGCGCGAGTTGCCGCAGTCGCATGTGCTTGGCGACCACGGCTCGAACACTGCTGGGTGAGACCGAGTCATCAAGCCGCCGAGCCAAGGCGTGGTGCAGCCCGGCGGGGACGGCGGTCCCAAGGATCAGGGTGACGGTGAACACCACGCTGGGTGGGAGCCACGCGACGAGGCAGGCACCGTAGAAGAGTCGGCCTAAGTGCGTGCCCCAGGCGCCAGCGTGGGGAACGAAAGGCCACAGTGGCACGACAGGCTCTTCGGCAAACAGCGCGTCAGCGGTAACGTGGGTGAAGAAGAACACGTTATACGTTATGCTCACAGTGCACAGCACCATGATGGTCCGTCTCGCGTTGACCACCCACAGCTGTGTGTTGAAAGCAAGGATCCTTGCTAATTTTCGGACTATTTTAGGGGATAACTGGAAGATGCAATCTGTTTGGTGTGCACGATTGTGCTGCAACGGATCACAGCAAACATTTTCCCGGGAAGTCCCCTGTTTGTTTCCGGAAAAATTCCCGGTTTTCTCTGGCGCATGCGCAGAGCACAAGTTGACGAAGTTTCGTATTTTACTAATTTCGTTTTTTTGATGGTTTGTGAGCCGCGCTGGTAGAAATGAAGCTGGGCCGTCCTCAGATTTGTTTTACAACCGGTTTGCCGTCAAAATTCACTCAAATACGCGTTCTTTCCTTAAAAGTTCCTACATAACCTAACAAGCAGGCCCGCCCTTCCGCCAAACGAAGTTGCCAGCTCCGCTTCGCTCCGCCGGCAACTCCGTTTGGCAGGGGCCGGGCGTGCTTGGCCTGCCGGCGGCGATGGTCAGGCCTGCGGCCCGACAATTTCTGTCACGCGATTTGCTAAAGAACATGGTCGAATGATGTAGCGCGCCTACGGCCCGCTTAAACCCGTCGTCATTGAGTTTGCCCCGTAGACACAAGAAAGGGATGTAGGGTAACGGTGAAGCACTGCGACTACAACCCACCCTTCTGCTTAGAAAACGTTTTTTGGAGGTGGGGGGAGAGTTTCTTTCCTATTTTGTGGTTTTTAGGCCTTTTTCTACATCGTATTGTTCACTATGGCAATTTTTAGTCTATTTTCGTCAAAAAAGACACTACAGCGCCTAAACGATAAGAGATAGAGCGAAACGGACGAAATTTTCGGTCTAAGGACTACTTTAACGAGTTACCCCGTTGAAGAACATTAAAAACAAGAACTTTTTGGGAGAATTTTTGAACCTTGGATACCCCCATTCACACCCTTATGGGTGGTTGCCAGGATTTGCCGTAGGCGTTTCGTTCTCTAGGAGTGAACCTTAAGATACCCTGAAAATTTCAAGTCTCTAGCACATCTCGTTCTAGTGGAACAGACAGACAGACACACAGACACACACGAGGTCGTTTGCATAAGCCCGCTGGATAGCTTTGTCAAAGCAGAAAGGCGGTCTAAAAACGTTAACACTCCGTATAAACTGCGAAACGAACCCTTGATGATGAAAACTAAATTATATATCCTAATGTTTATAAAGAAGTAAACATTTTCAGTTGTACGGGATGTAACAGTGTTGTAAGTTAGCCTATGCTGCCAGCACATATTGCGTCATGGCCCCTGCAGCATGAAATGGTATGCCGTACCGGCACCCCAAGGCACTGACCACCTGGTACCTGGATTTAAACTATGTCGTCGGTGTAATAGCATGAATATGTGCACCGTAGAAAGTTCGGTTGACCACCAGAAAGCTTGGTGGCTGTAATATTCTAGAAATTTACTTCATTTCGCTCTGTGTTTAGAGTAAACTCAAGAAAGGGGCGGGGGGCGGGTCCTTCAGCACAGTGTCGATTGTTGGTGGTCCTGAGGTAATGTGGAATTGCACTCCAACAGATGGTCGCGGCGACATCACGCTCTGGCCCCCCGCGCGCGGTGCGTGTGGTACAAACGGGTTCGTTTAAAAATGCCGCTGGTGGCTGACCTGGGGATTTTGCAAATTTCGAGATGGAAGTACTCGAAAAAAAATCATATAGCTGAAATACGAAAAAATTGAAAAATTTGTTTTGTTCATTGTGATTTTTTTCGAGTACTTCCATTTCGAAATTGGCAAAACCCCGAGGTCAACCACTAGACGCATCTTTTAAGAGTAACTTGCAATTTTTTTGACCGTCGCAGACCTATCTGTTGCGCTGCAATCGTGCACACCGAGAGGGACTGCATCGTTCCAGTTGAAGGCGAAGATCGGCATGTTGCTGGAGAGTGAGCGTACTGGCGCCAGCGGCACAATTAGCGTCCATCTATGCTCCGAATACATCCTTAATCTAAACCCGATGTGTCGTGTGGTTTTTATGAAGTGACGAATCTTGCAAACTCTTACATTTCACAGGTCTGCCCCCTTAAGATTGCCATCGTAAGGGGAGGGGGCAACTTAAGCTGACCGTTTTGGGATTTTCTCAGAAACGTTTTTTGGGGGGCCCTAGTGTCTGACCATTACCAATGGGTGAGTGCATTTTGTTTCAATGCATCTCATTTAACAAAGAAACAAGGCCAGAATGTACATCCGGGCCCATTTTCATGGTCTTGGCAGCCTGAACCTACGGGTAAGCTTGTTCTCTATGAGGAAGTTGCCCAGTGTGGCGGAGCGTAGCGGGAAACAAAACAAAGCACCATAACCTACGAGAAGGAATACTTCATATCGCGGATTAAGTTCTTTTCTCGAAGTGCTATGTGAATGCATAGGTGTATATAAGGGCAGCACATTGATTAAAACCTTGTCAAATACTACTTTCTAGATGTAAAGCGTAGTTTTCTTTTGTTGCTTTCTGCTTTGTTTTGGTTCCCCGCTACGCTCCGCCACACTGGGCAACTTCCTCATATAAGAAGATTGTGCGCTAGATTCCTTCGTCAATAAAGCCTTCCGGTAAAGCTCAAATGCAGAAGAATGCGAGGAACAAGAAAACGGAACTCACCATGTTAAAGCATAGCGATCTCCGTTTTCTTCTTCTCCCCACAGGGTACTCCGGGGCTCGGCTAGACCGAAAAGAGATGAACAAAAATCGTCGGGCGCGTGGAGGAGCGGGGCAGGGTGGGGGCAGCACCCCGCTTCTCCCCGCGCCCGACGATTTTTGTTCATCTCTTTTCGGTCTAGCCGAGCCCCGGAGTACCCTGTTCATCTGCATTTCAGATTTACCGGAATCCTTTATTGGTTATGAAAACCTAGGCGGAACTAGGACTATAGAATGCCACAGTGGTTTTAGTATACTACCTAAAATTAAAATAATTCACTAGTAATATAACGAAATTGGACTTATTTTTTTTTAGTAAATTGTCAGATAATATAGTGCAAGATTGTTGGCTGAGTGATTAGCGAAGTCTATTACTTCAGTTATTATCAAAAACTTTCGCGTCTGTCTGTGTGTGTGTCTGTTAGTCTGCAATCACGATAACTCGAGACCAGTTCACGCTAGGTGCATGCAATTTTAACTGTAACTTCCTGTAGGATCACCGTTGAACGAAAATTTCGTCCGTTTGGGTCTTTCTCTAACCGTTTAGGCGCCAGAGGGCGATTTCCACACAGAAATGACCCCAAAACATTGACATGTTTTTTCTCAGGTATTTGATGGTCTGCGGCGGGGTTACTCGTCAAAAAAAAAATCCCAAGGAACAAAATTTGTGAATTTTGTGGACAAAGGCCTATTTAAGACTCTGCTCATAAACCGGCTCGAGTGTCAGCGCCGCAGGCTTAGGTAGGTGTGTGCCAGGCGCGTCGCAGCGTAACACTGTTTCGTGAGATATGGCGAAGCCTGTTACGCGAGACGTGGTCTGACGTACATCTACCTAGTTTTACATAGTTCTGGTCTGCCCCTTTAACCGCTAAATAGAATCACCTTGCCGCCCGGGTCGGCCTCTATCGCCTCGACCAGTTGACTCAGATCGCGCATCTGGGCCCAGAGCCCCGGGTGGCGGACCAGGAAGACAAGTTGCAGCATGGCGTAGCCGACAATAACGTGCGAGACCGACAGCAGGAGCGCTGGGATTGAGGTAACTGGCCGTCTCAGTATATCCATGCACACAAACGCGGTGAACAATACCGTAAATGCCAGGGTAACCTGGAGAGAGAAAAAGAAGTTGCAAGGTAGATTTACTACAAAATTAATCTAAACGTTAACAATTCTTTTTGTTAACCATAGTAAAGAAAATTTTCTATTTTATAGTTTCCAGCAATATGCTTTGAATTAAAGAAAAATGATTTCAAGGCTGTTTTTGTTTATATATTGTTGTAATGACCTAATGAGAAAATATGTGGTGAGGGGTTAATTTAGAACTCTACATTATGAGGTTGGGCATCTGTGGAGCAGTGTCGGGGCGAAAACAAGTTATTTATTGAAATGTTCTAGTCATACTAAAACGAGGGGTGGACGACTGGAGGGCTCCTGTGTACGTACAAGGCCGAACGTACTCCGGTCGTACTCCGAGTACTCCAGTTGTACTCCGAGTACTCCGGGTGTACTCCGGGTACTCCGGGTGTACTTCGGGTACTCCGAGTACTCCGAGTACTCCGAGTACTCCGACTGTTCTCCGCGTAATCCGACTGTTCTCCGGCAGTACTCCGAATGTACTCCGACTGTACTCCGAATGTACTCCGACTGAGACAATGTAGGAGTCTGTTGTTTAAAAATCTTTTTT